CGTGTATAGTTTTTTATCACTAATTTAAATTTGAATTTTGCAAACAAAGCAAAATATTAAAAAATATCCAGTATTAACTTTTTTTTTGACGTCGTTTCAATGATATGTCGCTATGTATATTATGTATAGATCACTAAAATCGGTTGTTATGCGAATTATCCGCAAAATATTCAAATAAACGGTAAACATTTTCAAATAATCGCATCATTAATTTTTTAATGTATTATTTGTTTAATTTAACTTTTATTTTCAAAATTCGTTAAATAACATGAATCATGAATAAAACAAGTTTTTTTTTACTTTGTCAAAGTAAATTTGTGTAAACTAAAAAAAAACTAATATACAAGGCCGTGTTAAAATATCCACCTACATAATTTCAATATCCCGCCATTTCGGTACCAGTTACTCGACTCCACAGAGTCAGTAATTCATTCTTGGGGCGATGTATATCTATCAGAGAAAATATACAAAATTTGACGTAAGTACACAAAGTTTAAAAACTTTATTAAACTAAGTTTGTATAAAAAGGGTTGTTTTCATATTAAGGAACTTATGGATGATAATAAGTCCTGGGAAGGGTGATCACCACCAAGCTATTTCTAATTTGTTTCGAGTTGTTAATTGTAACACGCATGATTGTAAGCTCTTATTTTTTTTAAACTAGTCCCGTTGGGTTTTTCGCTGGTTGCTTCCCAGGACAGAGGTTTTTTTTTGCGAAACAGTGGTAAATGAAAAAAGTGACTTTCAATAAGTATTATTCATAATCTATATTGAATAAAAAAGTTTCTGTTTCTGTTTCGAGAGCTCGTGTTTAATTTTTTTAACTGTGACTCGGCTTTAACTTTTTGGACTGTTTCTTCTATAATAACTTTTTGTACGTGATAGAGCCGCGCTACGTCTATATTATAGTTATAGCACGAATGGGTCGGCTCAACCGGGGCAGGGCCACGCTTTCACAGAATACTAGCGTAAAATAGTAGCGTAATGCTGCTGTGTAGTAGTAGTGTAGAGAACCGGAGACTTTTTACTGGAATCGAAGCATTCCATCTTAATCCTCTGGGGTGACAACGCATTTGCATTTTGATTCTTAATTGAGAATAAATATGTATGTCTATGGATCATAGCATCCACTTACCATCAGGTAGACTGTGTGCTCGTTTGTCACCCAATGCCATAAAAAAATTCGTTGAAGCATGAGCCCATGTCACAAAGGATGATTGGGCAAAAGTGGTTGAAAAAAAATTGATTATGGATGACTTTGAAAGAGACATTAATTTTGTCTGCATTATTGAAAATCAAATAATAATTAATAGAAACAACGACATATCTACTACTTTTACTTAAAGTGATTGAATAAATTTATTTTTAATCTAGTTTCAATCTTAAATTTTTATAACTGTGACTAGAAATAAGCAGTAACAACAAATACGAAGAAACTGATTAATCTTGTGTTTTAAATTATCCGTTTTTAATTTAGTCTGGTATTATTCAAACCAAACTAAATGATTACCAACTCTAAATAATCGATATCGATTTTTTTAAGAATCGAATATTGTACGTTCCAATTTTTTGGTTGGCGTGCTTGGTGCTATAAGTTTGACAGCTGTCAAAATGTATTTCTTAGATTTGGTTGACTATAAGTGACCTACGTATCGAGCTATTTTATGCAGTGCGCCCACAAGTGAGGAGAGTTTGCGGTTAATATATTGTAAATGAGCTTTCCATGTAATATTTTCTTCCAGAGTCCAGTATTTTTCTTGGTTAAATTGTTGTAATATCTCACCGTTAATGTTAAGTTTAGTTTGATCAGGTATTTTTCTATTTTTGTGACTAAATATTTTGAAGTTAAAACTTCTTTAGCGGCGTTGTACACTTTTTTGCAATGGGTAAAAAATGTTAAACTCACGTCAGGACACGTGACCCTGATCGAAAATTTTTAAGACGGATGGAGAAAGAGAGACAGCCGGCGCGGCGTAGGAGAAGAAGTATCCCCCTCTCTTTCTACGACGCGGCGAAAATGTATACCTGCCCCTGCTGGTTCGTTTAGGCGACGCAGGGTGCTTGCGCGAATGTCCGCGTGTGATAATTAAAGCAATTCGTGCAAAATTATTCCGTAATCATTCCAAAATATCAAAAATGCACAACGTTAATATTCAAATTTTCACTTCTGCTGGCACTACCGGTGTGCAACCCGTCATTTTCTATGTATGAAGTTTTAGTAGTATTGATTGTACTAAAACCAGCAGTGAAGTATGTTACTTTTAAGAGTATATTAACAATGTCGAAGACTTCTTTAGATATTTCAAACGAAATATGTCGTTTAAATATAATAAGTAATAAATGAATACAAGTAATAATAGTTTGAATAAAAAAGAACCATCAAAACCGGTATTAGGTAGTTTCGTGCGTTTCCCATCTGTACGATTCTTTTTTCATAATCTATGATTTTCATATAGAAATGGCAGCCACGTGGCAGCGGCAGTAAACAGTAGAAAGTTAACACAAATACAATATTAACCATATTGCTATAAATAGCAGAATGAAGGGTGGGTGTGGCCCCTAATTAGGGACGTCAGTATGGAAATAAATAAAAACTGAAATAAATTATAGTATAATAAATATATTGTCTGAAATTAAATTAAGATTATGTTCATTAATATTATTTTTATAGTAAACCAGTCCCTGCTCATGGCACTACATTACCCTTTGATCAATAAAAAATAAATGAATAGATCTTATCCTAGCATTCAAGCTACTCTATGTGTACTCTCCATCCACGTTAGACAGAGACGATGGCCATCTGAGTAATCGTCGTCATTTTCATTACAGCCAATATCTGAATAATCCTGAACTAAAATACAAACAACTCCATAAAGTTCTACCATTACAAAATTCGAAGGATTCACTGTTGTAATCAACATTGAAAAATTTTTAATCTACGGTAACCGCGATTAACTATGATATCTGGACGTTGAACATCTCAGTCCCCCCCGTGACTATGGGTGCTGTAAAGCTCTCGAAACGTCGGCTATTTAAAAAGTTAAATATACGCGATAAAATTCGTAAAAACTAGTATTATTTCGAAATAAATTTACTTTAAGGTTATAACTTATTATATACAGTGGACCCTCGGTAATCCGGCCCCTGACTAATCAGGCACCCCCGTAATCCGTCATGGTCTATTATTTATTATTACAGAAATCTTAATAATATGACAATAGAAGTCGCATAGACGCGCCTTGTCGCCGCTATGATGTGTTGACGAACACCATTCACCATTTTGTGATTTAGTTGCGCGGGGAACGTCGTACGTAAATTATTATAATGGTGAACTGCAGCATAATCAGTTGTAAAAACTCATCAAGGACGTTTAATGCAACTAACAAGGGAATAACATTTCATCGGTAAGTTGATTATTTACTAATTATCATTTTTTTAACTATATAGATCTAGATGAATACTTTACTATGACATTTACCTTTGTAAACTCATTTATTACATATTATAAAACGCTCTATGGGCATCAATGTTAGCATAATCAGACGCTGTTTGAGATTTTGTTCTTAAATCATTATAGATTACCCAAATTACCTGCTAATCTTCGGCAATTCGGCAAAAAAAGAGCCTCAGCTCAGATAGCTCAGATGTTAACGCTCGCTGTAAATATAACAGAACGTGAGTAATCCGTGTTCGATCCCTGCCGGCACCAATGAAGTTGTTTTTTGCAATTTTAAGTGCTGATTTATCACGTGCTCGGCGGTGAAGGAAAACATCGTGAGGAAACCTGCATGTCTGAAGAATAAGAAAAAAATATTTCGAAGACATTTGAAGTTCGCCAACACGCATTTGGGCAGCGCGGCGGACACTTCCTAGCCCTAAAACCCTCTCAGAATGTGGGAAGGACTGTGCCCAGCAGCGGGACGTTATATAGGCTGTAACTTTACTTATATATAAGGCAATAAGCGAAATAACCCGTAACATAAGCTGCTACTCCAGATAATCTGAGAATGGATAAATTTGTAATGAATCAACTATACCAGTATAATATAATACAAATGTTGCAACTCTCACAACTACTCAAACATAAATTAGGCAATTTTAACCATTTGAAATTCGACCTTTTTGCTTTCGGTAATTATATCCCGATGGGCATTGCGTACCGTGTGAAACTAAAATTACCAAAACAGAAATCCTCTATTTCTATACAAAGTTATGATACCGTCGCAAGAACAAGAAACAATGAATATCAATGAAGGACATCTCATCGGTTTAGTTCGTGGGCCGTGTTGGCATATCGTTCCGGTGTTTGCGTTTTACGTTTTACAAATCTAAGCCTTGTGCCTAATTTTTTATAACTGTATATTAATTAAATTTTAATTTAGCCTGCTAAAGATCATTTGAAATTTGATAACTCTCACAACTACACAAACTTAAAATTTAGGTAATTATGACTATTTAAAATTCGACCCTATTGCTTTAGCTATATATTATATTTTGCAATGTGCACCGTTGTTTGATAACTACCAAAACATCGCAACGATATCCATATTCGCTTCATCTCTTTCTATAGGTACTTATTTAAACTATCGTTGCAAGTACGAGAAGCGATGAATATCAACGAAGGTCATCGGTTAGTGGGCCGTTTTCAGTTTTGGGATATCGTTCCACAGTTTGCGTTATGCGTATCGGTTTCGTTTTCGTACGTTGGTTAGGTATATGGTTTTGGTTGGATATGTGATAACGGTTTTGTACTTAGGTTTATCGATATGATATGATACTTGATAACGTAACGTTATTAATTACGTTTTGATATATCGGTCTCATGCCTAGTATCCACATTCCACAGACTAGAAAGTATCCTCTTAGTAGTCTGTGATATCGTGATATCTTTCTTGCGCGCAAACACGCAAATTTTTTCTGTTAAAATTAAACTGCTGCTTAAAAGTCATATTGTCATTTTATTTACAACTGGTGCTTTAAACTGACTATAACAAGGTAAAATGAGTTACAATAGCAGAGATATTGCGCTTGCTTTTGCTCAATTTCTTCCATCTATGGTCAAATTGGATGAACTTCAAAAAATGACCGAAGATTTGGATCAAGAACTCGCTGAATCGCAAAAAATTATGAAAGAAATTAAAGCTATGTTTGATAGCGTACCGAAAACCAGCCCCACAAATAAAAGTAACGGGCAAGACAACATTTTAAAACAGGAAGACATGTCTCAATTCCTTGAGGCTAATGTTCCAAAATTACTGATGCCCGATATGCCGGAAAACACAGTGGATGTAGATTTGGATCGTGTTATATCTACTATGAAAAGTTACGCTGAAGATTTGAAAAAAAAAATTGTAACATCCCAGTCTCAACCAATGAGTAACCAGAGGAAATTTGAAAATTTAGATTTAGAACAATATGCAAAAAGTTTTGACCAGCTGGCTAAACGTTTGGCTAATGTCAAACTTAACAAGAAAGATGGAGCCAACAACAGAAATGCAGATTTGGAATTAAAATTGGCGCAATTATGTCAAGATGTCCACTTGTTCAATCAGGTATTGTAGAATTGATTTTCAACATCAAGTAGTGAATTTTGTACAGTATTTATTTGAATAAATCATATGTTTTGATTATTAGGAACTAGTTATCTATCTATATAAAACACTAAAAATGTTTCTACCTATGCCCATTATAGACTGAAGCCATCCAATGGATGTGCCCCAAACCTGTTTCATTAGAAAGGCAATAATGTGAAGATGGTTTTAGACCACTAAAAAGAAAAAATGCTAAAACACTAAAAAAGTTAAACATGATTGTTATCATCATCATCCTCATTACAGCCCTTCACAAGTCCACTGCTGAACATAGGTCTCCCCCAAGGAATTCCACAAAGCACCTGAGCCACCTGCGTCCATCAACTTCCTGCATGTCTTACCAGGTCGTCACTCACATCTAGTGGAGGTCACCTTACACTACGCCTACTGGTACGAGGCTGCAACTTTAGAACCTATTTTCCCCATTGGTTGTCGGTTTTTTGAGCTACGATGTTTAAGGTCACTCAGTAAGCTATGCTCGGATTTTTCTCTACATGATAAACTTACAAGAAATGAGTGACTGACATAGCCCAATGGATTAGTAAGCTGAAGTAGCAATGGGCCGGCCATATAGCTCAAAGAGTTAATAAATAAACAAAATTTCTTTCTTTATCAACAAATAGACGAAATGTATTCCTTTCTTTTAGTGTGGTAGCACACACTGGGTATCCGCTAGTTACTTTTTTTTCTATTGGATAGGGTGACAAATGAGCACACAGTCCACCGGATTGTAAGTATTTGCTGCGACCCATAGATATCTACATCTATCCTCGATTACAAATCAAAATGCAGATCCGTTGTTACCCATGAGGACTATAATGGAATGCCTCTAATTAAGTATTGAAAGTCTATCTATCGTGCTGTGGTCCACAGACATCTACAGATTAAGTATCAAATTGCATATGCAATTGATGATACCCCTGAAGACTAATTAAGAGTAAAAAGGATCTTCAGTTCTCTACACTTACTATACAAAACACTGCAGCATTAAGCTGCTATTTCATGCTGGTATTTTTAGAGAGTGTCATCCTAATCTAATTGAGCCAACTCATTTGTGCTACAACCACTTTTCTATGTGGTAGAGCCATGCTGCAGTTATATTAGTAGTATAGTTGTAGCACGAATGGGTTGGCTCGACCGGGGAAGGACCACGCTCTCACAGAATACCAGCGTGAAATAGTAGCTTAATGCTGCTGTATTTTGTATGGTGAGTGTAGAGAACCGGAGACCCTTTTTACTGGAAACGAGGCATTCCATCTCAGTCCTCACGGGTGACAACGCATCTGCATTTTGATTTTTAATGGAGGATAGATGTAGATGTCTATGGGCCGCAGCAACCACTTACCATCAGTGGACTGTGTGCTCGTTTGTCACCCTATTCTATAAAAGAAAAAAAAAAACATAATACAGCTCTATTATGGTTCTACCATATTTCTATACTGTTTCTGCTGTTACTTAATAAATGTTACAAAATACTGATTGCCATAATGATTTCTTTTACCACAAAGCATGTATAAATTCTTATTTTCATCCATAAAAATTTAAATTAAAATTTTAAACTTTCGGTTTTTAAATTTAAGATTTAACATCTGTCCCCTAAAATCATTATTAATATGTGACTCACCCAAAGCAGTAAGGGGGCGTCCATAAATTACGTGAGATGTTTAAAGGGGGGAGGGGGTTGAGTCAAATCTCATCTAATAATACGTTGGAGAGAGGGGGGGGGTCTCGGCAAATATCATGCAATTTTTTTCTGATTGAAACAAAGAAAATAATACTATTTTGGTCCATTTAATCCAGATTGTACATGCTTAAGATTTAATCTTAAGTGTATATCGTAATATGGTTAACCACTACTGAAATGTCAAACCCATCTTCAAACCCATGGTCAAGCCAGAGTAAATATTGTAGGTTTGGCAAAAGACAATTTTTTTAATGAAGGAAAATATAACTTAGAGTTATTACCATATTCTTATCCAAAAATAAAAATTATCAGCAATTAAAATATCAAGTTATTTGTATGAAGGTCACATGAGCGCTAGAGAAACGACGATTGTAAGACATTGTTGATGAATAAAATGTTTAATGAAATAGTACAGTAAAAATAGAATTTAACTTTGCACTAAATTTCCGATCCAATTGTATTTTTTATAAGGTTTAGGATCACTTACGCAGCATAAAATCACAAAACGCTGACAGATACAGGTGGCGCTTCAAGCGCCATCTTGAGAAAACGTTTTCAGCCGATATCTCGGAAACTATGCACTTTAAGGTAAAAATTATAGAACCATTATTGTAGAAAATAAAATTTCGCATCTTTGTTTCCAGTAAACTTTTTTGTGAAACTTACCGTTTACAATTTATTGCCCATTTAATGAACCGATTTTTCTATCGCGGCGGATAACTCTTGAAATATAAGATTAATCAATAAAATGCATAAGGAAATCTATTTTTAAAGATTATTTTATTTTCTAAAACTTTCAAAAATCTCACGTGAGATTGGACCCTCCTAATTCATTCTTGAGGCAATGTACAAATATACAAAATTTGACACACACAAAGTTCAAAAACTTTATTAAACTGATTGTGTAATATTAAGGGAAGGGTAATTGCTACCAAGCTATTTCTAATTTGTTTTGTGTTGTTAATTGTAACATATATGATTGTAAGCTTTTATTTTTTAAAAAATAGTCTCACTGGGTTTCTTGCTGTTTCTTCCCAGGACCGAGGTTTTTTTTTGTGAACCAGTGGTAAATGAAAAAAAAACTGAATAAGTAAAAAAGTTTCTGTTTGTGAATACATTCTAAATGTACTGCTACCATTCTACTGCTAAACATGCTATGCTATCCCATGAATTATTATTAAACAGTTGTTTTTCATAATTTACTGCCTTTTCAGATGGTCGAAACGAAAACATCTCTAAGTGAAAGTAATAAAAACTGGACCAATAACCAGCTGGACAATGCTTTGTATTATGATAACATCATTAATAAATTATTGAACGGAATCAATGAAGTAACATATTTATTGAAGAGTAAAAATTAATAGAACAGAGAAGTAACAAGCAGTCAAGAGATAAATTGGAAAGGTATTAGTTATGTTATTTGAAAAACCAATAAAAGAATGCATAGCACAAGAATTAGATTTTACTAATCTTTATATATAATAATCAATTGCTGTCCCTTAGTCTTGCAAAAACTCAAAAATGGCTTGATCAATTCTGAAGAATTTTTTTGTTGTTTGAGTGGGTCTCTGGATGGTTTCAAAACTCAATTGGACTTAGTGGGTGGTGATGATGTGGTATTGAAGTTGTATATTGAGTGCAAAGTACCAAACAATAGTATATAAATTTTACATAGGTAATATTTTGACGAAAAATACTTTTAATGAGACTTTTAAATTTTTATGCCTATATTTTTAATTCCAGATACTAAATTGACAACTATTTACCTACCTACAGCGTAACAAAAGTTGACTGATATTTGCTTTAGTTGGTTTAAGTTTTAAGATTTATGTTATTTAACAAGATTAGATTTTGCCAAATGCAACCTTGCCAAGTAGGGTTTATTATGCAACTTCATAGTTAAAGCTTAGCATGGCACAATTTGTCTGAAATAAACATACTCATCCACAATAATTACCAGCATAGATGTGATATGGATGTAATGCATGATATATTGTCTCGCCCATGTTGATCTTAAGAGCTATCTGTTGGGGGACACAAATAAGGTCTTTAAGCAGTAATGAGGTCCTCCAGCGATTCTATCATAATATTTATATAGTAATACCCTGCTTTATGTGAGGGATAAGTACTGCAAAAAATTGCTTTAACCTTTATGTACCGACGTGGTTTTTTTGTACCGCAAGTACCGATGTGGGGCCCGAGAGGCAGCATGCAAATAATCAGTTTTTTAGAAATGGTTTATAATTTTGGTCAAATTTTAATTTATTTTGATAATATAGGTTTCCTTAAATGAATGGAAGAAGTAAATTAATAATCTTATTTATTAAATTTAACATTAATAGGCCTTTTAATCTTTGGCTCCATTTTGTGACTACAATAGGACACTTAACGAAATAAAAATCTTAAAAAAAGAAATACCACTTCGAAACTAGAATATCTTAACTTTTCTTATACTTAAGGGATATGTCTATCAGAAAAAAAAATATCTGGAATGCTCAAAATAAAAAAAATGACAAACAGCAAAGTTACTTATTCGCAATCAGGACACACTTGCTTAGCACACTGTAAACGTGTTTTTTGCATGAGTAACATTGATATGTTGATTTTCTGTTGAGTTTTGGTGGGCAAGATGCACATATTTTTCTCGTTTTTTTCTTCACTCACTTGACCTTGAACTTTATCTGGCATATCAGCCCCGAGTATTCTAGCCAAACTCATGCGAAGTTCGCGAGGCAAGCGCAAGTTAAACACCCTTCTCTTGTAATATGAGCTGACGAGCTATATGTTTTACGAAAACACCCCGTTCAGTTTTTTTATTTAGATGCACATCATGTAAAATATGAGCATTTACGCAACTTATGTCCAAAACCCGGTAAAAAAAGTGTCATAGGCCAGCGTCTCGATCGGCGACTACAAGCGTATATCGAACTAACACTTTTTATCTATTTCGTCCACTCATCCTTTTGTGGAATTATAGAATTGTATAATTTCAGGTTTGCCTGACACATTATCAATTCCTTCAGTGTGATTCATCGAGGAAGCTAATATCACGGTTTTGTTTTTCCTAGGTACATGGGAAATAAGCGTTATTTCTTTTGTAAAACCGTACAATGTTGAACCTTCTTGTCTAGATTTAGTCGGTAAAAAATCAGAAGGGATTTCTCTTTTGTTTTTCTTTACAGTGCCTACGCATGTAAGTCCTTTCTGTTTCAAAGAATTTACTAACTGAATAGAGGTAAACCAATTATCACATGTGATATTTTTGTTGCTGCCTTGTAATGGTCTCGTCAAACGTAGCACGGCTTGGGTGGGAACTAATAATTTCTTTTCTTCCTCTGTCAGGCTTTCTCCATCTGAACCCTTTCCACAATACACGTAACCATTGTAAAAATATCCATTTTCAGCATCACACAAACACATTACTTTTAGTCCATATTTTGCCGGCTTACTGGGCATTTAAATCATCAAGAAAGACCGTCCCCTAAAAGGGACTAGCATTTCATCTACAGTGGCGTATTGGCTTATATTATACACTCTTTGGCAATTTGAGACAAATCGATCAAAAATAAAAGATATTGCCGCTAATTTGTCAGATTCTTTTCTTTGTTCCCTGTCGGCAGCATTATCAAAACGTAAGCAATGTAACAAACACAAAAACCTATTTTTTGACATTACACAGCGAAAAATCTCCCTTCCAGTGCCATCCGTAGCAAAAATAAAATCTGCGTCTTCGTGATTTGATTTGAAAACCGCTGTATACATCAAAAGCCCAATGAAAGCTAGCAGTTCAATAATGTCTATATCTTGCAACTGATGACGATTAAATGAACCAATAATTAGAATTAGTCCTAGTTACAATTTCTAATAACTCACATCTATGTACTGTTTCCATATAGAAAAGGGATCCTTGCCTTCATTTTCTGTCAAGTTGGAAGTGGGTACTCGTAAAATAATGTTATGCTGTGGGATTCTAACTGATGAGCGGTTTGGAGGACTTCTTGACCACTTATATCTGTTTTTGCCTCTAAAAGAACTGAGCCTGGAAAGCGGTACGTTTTCGTCTTCCGACGAGAAACTGCGACTATTTTCTATCTGAATAAGAGGTTGCTGGGTTGAGGCCTCAGTATCAGATAAATCGGTATCAGTTTCTGTCTCGTGATCGCTAACTTCTGGGATAAAATCATCTCCGACGTCATCTATTTCTGATCCACTGGAATCTTCCGCAATCAGTTCCTCGATCAAAGCCTCACTATTTTTATCTAAAAGATTTATAGAGCGCCGAGATTTTTTAAATAGGCATTGTTCATTTGTAGATATTCGTTGTTTACTATTCGACATCCCCGGTGCATTCATTTTTTCGAATCAGCAGCTATTTATCTGAAAATAAGCATTGCAACTCAAAACACATTTAGACAAAAAACTTACGTAAGTACCGACGTTGGGCCTGAGAGGCCGCTTCGTAATTTTAAATTGACATAACTTACCACAATCGCGTCAACCGGCAATACCACTACACTCTACGGCGTCGGTGCAACTGAACTTGCAGCTACTGAGGGGCGGGGATTTCTCCTAAGCGGGGAAGGGGTAATACTAACAACGTTACTACCTGCTTCGGCCTGACAGGCCCCACATCGGTACTTAAAGGTTAAGTGAAATTTGCGTATATTGCGGTTTACAATTCATAGTCAAAAGTTAATACAAATAATTTAAATCAATCACTTTAATTCTAAGAATACATACTATACACTATGCAGTATTACATGTTTTTTTTTTTATGGAAAAATACTAATGTCTTTTGAGTATTTCTTTTACATTCTTGTAAAATATGTTCATAACATCCAACACTGTTTTTAATTATTTGACACAGGATCAGAACACTGTCATCACAACTGTCTATGCTCTGCAATATGTCTAACCCTGAATAAATTTTTGAAAGAGCATTTTGTATTCCGTTTGAAGATACAACTCTCTCTTCTACATGATATACCTCATTATTAATGAGATTATTCTGTAACTCGATCAGATCTTCATTACTGAGAGGTTTGCCGTGCATTGCTACAAGTTATTTGAGATCTTCTACCGCAATATACATGTTCAAGTTCAGACTCCTCAGTAAAACTATCTACATCCGGTACTTGTGTACGCGAATGTGAGGGGTGGATGCAGGAAAAGCCCCCCCTTGCGAAAATTTATAGTAATGATTTCTTTGTAAAATCATAACCTCACTTCTTACACAGGAATATTGACCCAAAGTTACTTCTGCAATAGCTTCGGCGCTCCGGGAAATGGAGCCCCTTCGCTCATGCGTAGCAAATTGCAGACATCAATGCTCACCTCTGCAGCTTTGGCTTATTGGTCGCCTACGGTAACCAGCATCAACCGCTACAGCTTTAAAGGCACTAGTTTGACTGATTCGGTTTGAAGTAGAACAGATTAGAACAATATTATATATGAAGTCAGGTTTCCCTAAATTCTGCTTTAATACTTGTAAATGAAATGAATTGTTATAATTTTGTTTTCTGAAAAACCCCTTGGCTGCTATCCACTGCGACTCAATTTGTTGTATACAAGTCCCTTCTTCAGCCACAAATGGATTGTCTGGGCCTGAGTGATTAACTGTTTTATGGGTATATCCATGTAAAAAAAAAAACAAATTGACATATTTCCGTTTCGTTATACTTATGCAATTTTATTTTTATCGTAATAAATTTAAAATGCATCTCTGACATCTAAAGCAGTGTAATAAGTAGCTCCCTGGTCTATGTAACAACCTATGGACCAGGTAATGGAAAAAAAATGTGTAATATTGACATAGTGTTTGGTATAAGAAACTTCACATAAGCTTTTAAGTTCCTCGGTGTATCGAGTGACGTTGGATGTCTTGGGGCATTGTCTAAGAGTATTATAACTTTATATTCAAGCCCATTTCTGTCACAGTAGGATTTAACTGATGGGCAAAAATTATTAGAATACCAATCCTGAAAAACTTCCCATGTAACCCACGCCGTTCTGTTGGACCACCACACAACTGGTAGACTTAACTTATCTCTACCTCGTATTGCGTGGGGTGTTTCTGAATGGTACACCAGTAAAAGTTTCAGTTTGAAATTATCAGTGGCATTACCAGCCATCAGAAGTGTTAATCGATCTTTCGCAGCTTTGAAGCCACTGGCTTGACGTTTCGAGACATTTTAACGCGAAATTGGAAATTCACGTAAAAGTGAAACCGCGCATAACGGGGTCGCGTAAAGCTGGGTATTACTGTATTGTCAACAAATTGAAAAAGAGCGATGTACTTGCCAATGATGAAGGTATGAATATGAATTAAGGTGGGGTTCACTCACCGGGGTGTTGTTTCCAC